CACAGACTTTAAGGTTGCTGAGGCGGAACACTGATCTAGATTATTCCAGGGATAAGCGGATTTGATGTGTTCAATCCTCAATAAAAATGTTAAAAACCAACGATTACTCCAGTGCATTTGTTAATTACGGCATGTATGATATTTTATCCTACTACATGGCCTTTTAAACAGCTATCATCTCACAGGTGGAGGGGGGGGGAGGGAGAGAACCCTGTGATGTAAAGCCTGAGTCTTTAACTTAGATTTCCTATTTCTGTCAGCCTTGCAGATTTAGCCTAAATATTATCAGATTTCAACTGTATTAAATGTTTTTGGCAGTTGCTTCTCCAACTCTGAGGATGAATTACATTGCTGTTACAAAAAATAATCTTTCTAAAAAAAAATTGGGCGAAATATAAGATTGTTTTTTTTAATTTATTCCAGTTTCCTATGTTGAACCATGAACACTTATAAGTGATGACAAATGTCACCAACAATAACTGTTCAATAAATTCAAATTGTACTCACCATTGTTTGAAACAACATTCATTGTCCTTACTATGACAATAAGTTGAAGAGTATTAAACCGCTTACACTAATATACCTTAAGATGGCTTGTTAAGTTTTGGGGTAGTGGATAGTACATGCTCAGTCAATTGTGGCTTAGTTCATATATTATGGTTTAAAAAGGTACTGTAATTTAATCATTGGGATAGTATATTTCACCAATACCGCATACATCAGTTACTACTATACCTGTCTTCTGAGGACCAATAATTAGTAGCTTGGGGAACCGGTCGCAGGTCTTCTCTTTGGACCAAATATCCTTGTGGCGCTTGTCCTCACAAGGATCCTAAAACATGACAACGTGTTGGGAATCAGCCAGGCAATCCATAACAACAGGATTTTTTTATAGCCCAACTGTTCTTACTGAAGAGGTATCTCAAAAGCCAGCAATTTCAAGTGTAGTCCTTGACTATAACCATTAATTTAGTGACAGCTGTAGCATTCCCATGTCATTGATCAAATTGGGGGGGGGGGGGCTTGGCAACTGGCGTGTATTTATGAGTTGTGCTGTCCCGGGCTCACGTGATCCCCAACTGTAATCTTCCCAGCTGGCTTCCACCAAGCAAAGTCAATGGGAGAAGCCAGATTTGCTTAATAACTGCATGATTCCCTTAGCAACTGCAGTGATGCACTCAACAACTGTGGTAAAAAAAAAAAGGTCGTAAAATCGGGCAAAACTCATTTAACAACTGGCTTGCTTAGAAATTTTGGGCTCAATTGTGGTCGTAAGTCATAAGTAATAGAAGATATCATAAGTAAGAGAAGGAAGATATCATCTTTTACTTCGCTATTATACTGAGTCTGCTCTGTACTTTGGAAGCTATAGTTTGTTTGTTTTTGACTTTCACCCTCTTAAAAGGAAAGAGAAATACATTTTTCAAAACCAGTCTCTCCTCTCCAGGGGGCCAGTATTATAATCTATAATTATCAGAATACCCTTTTTGTAAACAGATGTACAACTGAAAGAAAGTGACCAGATGGGATGTGTTGCTCAATGGATAGAGAAGCAAATCTCCCTGAATACTGTTGCAAGTCTCCAGCCACTACACATTTCACAGAATGTTATTTCACATCTGCCACTCTTCCTGGGGAGTATTAAGTATCCTACTGGTCTATGACCGCAATTAACCAAATTGAGTATTATATAACAGGCAACTACTTGCCCAGATTTTCAAACCAAGAAAGAGACAAAACAATAAAACACAGTGGAAAATTTGTGCGCTGCAGGCCCAGGGGGGGCAGTGAATGCACACCTGCCAAAGGGGGTCTTTTTCTTCAGAGAATATCTGGAAATACTTCTGTGCCAGCTGCACAGGTGGCAACGTCTGTAACTTCAAGTTAGTCCAGGAGTTCAGAAAACGGACCAAATGCCTAAAGGTGTACAAACCCAGGCGGTCATTTCCATAATTGGAGAGGTGGGTCATAAAGATACTGATCTGTGCAGGAGAGGGAAAAAGAAAGGGGGGGAACCCCATAGATCAGAATGGTTACTGTAGTATTCGGGGAATTTTTGCAGTGAAATATTAAACATTCATTTGCAGATGAACAAACATGCAGATGAACTAAAATGCTTTCCTGCATTAAGGGCCACCACATTTCTATCCTCTATCCAAACATCCCACAGAAGTTTAAAATTCTAGCCAGGATGGAGGGGAAAAAATCTTTATACTTAGGATAAGAAGTAAACTACTTTCAATAATAAATGTTATAGCTTCTGTTAATTCACTTTAATTTTTTTAAAGATTCTCCTTACTATTTACCTACCATATATTCTACAAAGAACAGTGCACCTAGGAAACATTTCTGCCCTTTTAAAAATATCCAAGCTGATTGGCACACCTTGTGGCAATATATTCCATAAATGGATTAAATGCTGAGTCAGAAAATGCTTTCATCTATTCTAAATTTGCTCCCAACTTCAGTCAGTTTCTCTCCAGTTCTAATTTCTGTTGACTTCAGAAAAAAAAAATGTTTACTTGACAGCACTCATAATTATGCCCACTTAATGTATTTCACAGTGTTCATACCATATAATAAACTTTGACCAGGCAATTATCCAAATGATATTACTATTTATGGCTCTTGCTGAACTCTTATGCCTAAGCCCTTTCAGCTTCTTAATCACTTCTAAATCATATTTATCTATCCATTCACACACCCCGTCTCACCTACATATGCATACTTTTCTGAAAATTATTCAGCTCAAGAATTTATCAACTCCAGAACCTTTTAGTAGCTAATGGATTTTTTAACTTAATCATTCTATTTATATCCCACCTTTTCTTTACTGCAAGGATTTCAGCTCATTGGTCCTTGAAGTAATACTTACGGGATTAAGGAGAACAGTCAGAAAAAGCTCGCCTCCATTGATGATTTTATCCAATTCACTCGAGCCACCTGGGTATTCATTATAGAATATGGTGTGTGTAAATAATCCACAGGTTTGCCGTGGAAGAACCTAGCAAGGAAAAAAAAAAAGGGGGGGAGGGAAGACGGACAAGTAGCAAATTAAAAAGAATCTAAAATCCCCTGTGCTATTTCTTACAAATCCCATGTAAGTTGGTTCAAGGTGTCCTCACTTTGCTGAGAATGAGTTGCAGATAATTTGACCAATAATACCTTATTATGCACTGCCATCTTCTTATGACTATTGCATACTGCTTAATTTTACTCCGCACCACTCTTCCCCACAACATACAGGATAATGGAGCATGTAGGTCTAAAGTGTCCCTCTGCAGAGACAGTTAGGCTAAACAGACCTCCCTCAAATTCATCCTGTCAGCATTAATTCTTTCCATTTGAATATTGGGGTCTGGTTTTCAAGGCTTCTAAAACCAAATCTCCTACTGTTTTGTATTCAGTTTTTACTGACTTTGGGGGTGGAGAAGTTTTTAGTAAGGGTGGAATTGATCCTGTACCATGATATTGGGGTTCATATTTTCACACATAAATACATTCATTCATTTAAGTGCATAACTGTTATTTCTTTCCTTTCCTTCTCCCTTCCTTTCTTTTTCAAGGAGAGAAGCAACCTAGAAGTAAAGAGAAATTTCCTGACAGAACAATTAATCAGTGGAGCAATTTGCCTCTAGCAGTTGTGGATGCTCCAATACTCCAAGTTTTTAAGAAGAGACTGGACAAACTATTCGTCTGAAATAGTATAAGGTTTTCTGCCTCAGCATGGGATTGGACTAGAAAATCTCCAAGGTCCCTTCCAACTCTATAATTCTTTCTTCCTTTCTTTCTCTCTTTCTTTCTTTCTTTCTTCCTTCCTTCCTTCCCTCCCTTCCTCCCCACTTCTTTCACACACACATCCCTTCAAGCCCATTAGCTCAAACCAAAGCAGACTGACTGCCTATTTTAGTACCTCTCAACTTTAAACAAAAGAATACTTTCCAATCTGCTTCACAAAACAACTATGTCCCAATTCCCATCCCCACACCAGGGAAAGATAAGCTAAATGGAAAAATCAGAGTTTCCTGGTATCTGATTTATGTCAAATGTATCAGACTAAAATATGCTTCATTATGCTTCAAAGGGAACACTGGGGTACAGAAAGCCTCTGACGCTGGGGTTGATCATAAATACAAAAATGCACTTTAAAAAAAAAATCATTATCTAATTTGAGAACAAAAAGTCTGTCTTGAGGTATCTTTCATCTGCTGAGGTTCTCTGTTTATGCATGATTTTTTAAAGTTTCACTCTATATGTAAGCTGTGCTGAAATAATACCGTGCTGAAGCACTGTTTTATTTTATTGTGGCTTGATATAAGTCCTGTCGTGCTGGGTCTGCACAGTTTGCCTCCTTAACCTAATTTAGGATACCCTGTGCAGAATCCTGATAAGTGGGAAGCTATGAAGCAAGTTCTACCATGTGCTCCTATTAAGACACTGTTGCAGTGGACGCTGGAAAAACTAAGAGACATAACTGAGATCAGTTGCTTGGCCTTGGCAAAGCCACCGCCTTTCATATATGGCTCTGGCTTACTTCAAATGTTGCCAAAAGACTAAACGTACATGCTGAGACAAAGGGTACAATCTGCATCTGGTACATGCATTTGGGATGCAGTGTGAGGACAACAGAAGGAAGAAACTTTGTTCCAGTTCCTTCTTTCCCAGGGGAGAAAAATCTCTTCCTATGTTCATTTTACGCTTTTTCACGAATTTGAGAACAAAGGCAAAGTACCCAGCAGCTGCTCCTTTCAAGCTGATTAGACTAGCTCAGGAAAAAGAAACAATCACCGATGGCCATCAGAAACTTTCGTGCACAGTATGCAGTCCATCATAACAACCAAGGCAGGCCATTGGGGAAAGTTCACCAAATGATTAAGCCCTTTTTTGTCTAATATGTTTAGTAGGAATTATTTAAAGGGCCAGGCACCTGGAAATTGTAAAGGATTCCTTAGCTGCTTGGATTATCTATCCAGCTAAAAAAATTGTTATAATTTTTATTGTAAAGTAATATGGTCTCTCTCTCTTTCTCTCTCTCAACATGAAACTTCAGATGATTTTCAAGTTGCAATTACACAATTCTAGTTGCAACTGGCAATGCAACTAAACAGAAGTCTTCCTTTAAGATAACCCATATTAAAAATATCCAAAGCATGCTCTTGAAATTATGTGGAGTTTCTAACACGTGCAATTAGTTAATTTTCCTAAAACAGCTATACACTGCTGAAAATCATGCAAAACTCAGGAGTTCAAGATTGTACTAATAGTTTTGTAATAGAATTTCCTTGAATAAGTAATATGAGATGCTCCAAATATCCTTTTCTCTTCTTAGAAAGTAAGCTTTGTCATCTCTTTTTAACTATGCTGTTTTCTAATTAACAAACTTCTTGGAATCTGGATTATCCTGAATACCACTTCCCATTTCTTTATCAACAGACTTCTTACAATGTTTACCACTTCCCATTCTTAAAACCTACTATTCTTTTAACGCAGTATTATCTTATTGGCTTTTCATAAGGTATTTATTAGCATTATTCAAAACTCAGATGTAACTGAAACAGAATCATCAACCAATATTGTGGTATAAATATGATATGGTTGATTATGAAGACAATTTTCTAGAGGTAATTCTGGACAAACTAGTGTTTTAAGCCTGTATGAAGCCTCAATATATATATTTTAAAAATCCTTAACCTTTAAGTTGCTTGACAACGGATTCAAATTACACAAACGATTGTAGTGTCCTGGGATCATGTGATCACTTTTTGCAACCTTCTAACAAACAAAGTCAAAGGAGAAACCAGATTCACTCAACAACCATATTACTCATTTAACAACTGCAGTGATTCACTTAACAACTGTGGCAAAAATGATCATAAAATAGGGCAAAACTCACTTAACAAGTGTCTCACTTAGCAACAGAAATGTTGGGCTCAATTACAGTTGTTAAGTCAAGGACTACCTGTAATAGAAAGGTTTTCAAGGGTATAGTGAATGGTATTGTTGTAAAATAGACTTATTTGTTCTTCTTTTTGCCTCATTCCTGCCTTTAATTTCTTTTGCTTGCTTTTTTTAAACCTTTCTGTTATACTTTGGGAATCGCACAATGGGCAAATAGGTACCTCCGTATGTAAGAAATAAAGAGCAGCTCTCTCTGCCTTAATGTGTTTGGGACCTACAGGCAAGTGGATATGTTAAAAAAAAGTTTGCAAATGAATCCAGACAATATGATAATCATTCTAGTGATGAATGCCATCTTTTAAGAAGAAATATGCCTCCATTAAACCAGAGCACCTCTGTAAATCCTTCTGATTAGATAACAACCTTGGGCACAACCTGGCACTGGTACTTATTTTTCTGAAAAGCAGTTAAAAGCTGTGGATATAAATGTTGTTTTCCAACTGCAGCTCCCCCGCCCACACCAGTGGTAGAGGACAGAATGTTCTACCTCAGTCCTGACTGCCATCGCATTTACTGATTTCCACATTGCAATTCACTCTACGTGAGAGTATCTTGCACACAGCTGTCCATCTTGCATCAAGGGTTAGAAACAGGTGCATATTCAGCTAATTTTGTGCCAATTACATGTGGCTGCCAATTTGCTTTTAGGCATAATTCCAGATAATATTTTTATTCGTTAAAAGTCCTGCATGACCTGGGACACTAATGTTTTGAGAACTGACTTTCCTTCAGGAGTCTACTGTTGCATCCTTGCATAGAATCTCACCACACAAACCTGTTGAAAAATTCTGTCCAAGAATTCATTAAAGAATGATCAAATCTGTTGTTGTTTTTTAATTTGGTCATGGACTGGCAGCTGGGTTAAAATAAAATCATGTAAACTAGTTTAAACTGTATTCAGAAATAGTATATGTGTAGGTTGACAAATATATATACATTTAATTTATAAAGTTAAAAATTGCTAATGATAGTGAAGTTTAACTGTGATCCTCAGACAACTTTTTTAATGAAATTAGAAATACATAATATTGAAATTCAAATTTAAGCAGATTTATTATTTGATATGATTTGGGTTATTCTTTTTTATTATTTAGTAGTATTATTTTATGGCTATAAAACACAAATAATACATTATTTTGGTATTTATATAGTACTGACTATAGATTAAGATAATCTATAGGGAGTCACTAGACAGACAGTGTCGGCATAATCCCCGACCTCTGGTCTTTCCGACACACCCTAAAAAGTTGGCTTTTCCAGCAAGCCGGCCTGGCCTGAATGGAATAAAATACAGGATTAATTTGGTTGTTAAGTTTAATTAATTTTTTTAAATTTTATTGTAAATATCAATTGGGTTTTTTTGGATACTTTATTTAATGTCTCTTTTAATTTTTGTAATATGTGTTTTCTTTTATGTTGTACGCCCCTGAGTCCTTGGGAGAAGGGGGGCATATAAATCCAATAAACCTCAACCTCAACCTAGATCTTTAAAGATAAGAGGAAAAAAATATGTCAACATTAACTATCTTCTAGAGCTGACCATAGCATTGCTAAATAACAGCAAAATTCATTAAATTGATTATTACGGTAAATAATAAAGGTTTTGTAGGAGATGACCTGGCTGAGCCCGAGGGATGTATCAAACATGTCATAAATCACGAGTCCCTGCAAGGATTCCACTGTATTGTTACTTATTGTTGTTTATGCTTATTAAAAAAGAACAAAGGAAAAAAAAGTTTAAAAAAACAATTTTCTAACTTTCCCCTTCTTTATATCTTGACCAATTTGTGGTATAAAAGGTTTATTCCTAGATTTATGTTTAGCATTCTATAAAACAATTTTGGGGGCGGGGGGAGCAAGCATTCATCACCATAGTTCACAAGATTGATATGTTTTCTACTAACCATGATTCCACTGTGAATAAATCCTCTTCGGTAGCGAGCTGGTTTGAGATGAGGATATTCTTCGGTGCTTGTTACTTTGATCCCCCACACCTGTTTCCAGGCCTCATAGAGTTGCACATGGACTGGGTACACCCCTGAATGATGAGGGGCCACTGCGTATCCCATATCTGTGGGGATGCCATGTTCCTAAGAAAAGGAATTCATAACTGTTATCCTCTAGTGCTAAGAGAGGAATTTTAATGAAACAATTACATTGCAAATGGGAACAGCCAAGCATTCATTTTATTTCTTTATCTTAGTCTAATCCAGGCGGAATTCTAGTTTAAGACGTAGTTCAAAGTGTATTTTTTGCTCTTGCTGAATTAGTGGGAGTGGATTGAGTAGCTAGCATTACATAAGTCTTATTGTTTCCTGTTTTTCTACAGGCTTTTATGCTCAATTTAAAGCAGGTTTTGTACAGAACTGGCCTGATGACTTTTAATCATCATGCTTCACAGTTTTTCAGGAGATAGATAAGTGAACAAATACTAAATTTCTACCCTGCTGAACTGGAAAATATTCTACTTCACATCTAAACAATTCTTTTATGGAAATTAAGAAATGCTGTTAAAAACACATTTGAATAAGCAGTAGTTAAAAAAAAACCCCAATGCTGTAGAACAGTGGTGGCTAACCTTTTTTGGCTCCGGTGCCGAAAGCGGGGGGAGCACAGGGGGGTGGTCATGCATGGGCGTGCCACACCCATAATGCTATGCACACAACACACACACCCTGCGCACATGCACAGGTCACCAGTGCCCCCCACCCCCGGCATGGTTTTTTTCGCTCTCCCCAGGCTCCAGAGGCTTTCTAGGAGCCCGGGGAAAGTGAAAACAGACACACACACCTCCAGCGGCCCTCCTGAGGAAAGCTCCTGAAGCCTCTAATGGGCGAAAAACAGACCTACAGGGAACCCAGAAGTTCAGGAATGGTGATTTCTGGTTTGTCCGTAGAGCCGATTTTCAACCTCCTGAGCCTTCAGGAGACTTCCCTGAAGGCTTCAGAGGGCGAAAAATGACCCTAGGGACAAACTGGAAGTCCCGGTTTGCTAGTTTCTTGTCCATTTCTGAACTTCCAACTTTCAAGGAAGCCTCCGGAGGGTGAAAAATGGCCTCAAAAGAAGACCAAAGTCAGTTGGCCAGCGCTGGAGCTGACGGGGCAACACCTTGCATGCTCTAACAAATGGCTCTGATCGCCATCACGGCTGTAGAATATGAACAAATCCCAGCTAACAATCCAAAGTATTGGATTACAGTATGTGCAGTCCTCACTTAGTGACCACTTGTTCAGCAACTCTTCAAAGTTCAATTCAATTCAATTCAATTTATTAGATTTATAGGCTGCCCAATCCCGGAGGAGACAAAGTTGAACAAGTGGTAGTTACAATCAGCCCTTAAAATTGTGGCATCAGTACCCACGTATCACAATCTGGGCTCTTGGCTGTTGATAGTTGCAACATCTGATGGTCGCATGATTGCCATTTGCGACCCTCCCTGCTGACTTCCCATGAATAAGGAAGCCAGCTGCAAGTCGCTCTGGTAAATCCCCCCCCAGTCTTCCTATGCTCGTGAGGGGCTGCCACGAAGAAGAGGGAGTTAAATTATTCTCTAAAGCACTGGAGGGCAGGACAAGAAACAAAGGATGGAAACTAATCAGAGAGAGAAGCAACCTGGAATTAAGGAGAAGCTTCCTGACAGTGAGGACAATTAACTAGTGGAACAGCTTGCCTTCAGAAATCATGGGTGCTCCATTACTGGAGGTTTTTTTAGAAAAGGCTAGGCAGTCACTTGTCTGAAATGGTATAGGTTCTTCTGCTTGTGCAGGGGGATGGACTAGAAGACCTCCAAGTTTCCTTCCAGCTCCTTCATTCTATTCATGCCATGCCATCCACCTCCACGGTCTTCCTGCACTTGCACTCCTTACCCCCAGCCCTCCTGCTCTAGACTATGCTATCTACCCCCAAGTTTTCTTGCACTAATGTGTGGCCTGCACTGGGCCTCACCTCACCTCCAACTCTAATGCACCCTTCCACCAATTCTCCCCACCTCCTGCTCCTGCAGTAAGCTGTGTACCTTATCTGGGAGTGCCATCACTTCTCACTTAACAACCTGTATCTCTTGGGGTAACAGAAGCAATAGGGATTCTTGTCTCTCTAATTGATGTGGTTACTTGACTTCATGCTTTATGATTGTGTCGCTTAGCAACAGCAATTCCAATCCCAAATGCCATTGTAACCTGAGGACAACCTGCAGTTTAAGAAGCGCCTTCTGCGAAATTACAATATTACGCTTTGTTTTCCTCTCCCTTTTAATTGAGTTTTTGTTAATTAATGTAATAGTGTGAATAACACTTCCAAAACTTCATACCCCTAAGAAGTATCTTTTGCAGGCTTTTTTTTAAAAAAGGAAGTAATTTCACAAGGTCAGGTAAGTACTGTGCTGAAAGATGTTGGGAATTATCTAGTAAAAGCACTGACTGAATAAACTGTTTTTAGGTTATTTTTCAACTAAAAGTATAGTAATATTTTAATATACACTTTCTAATGTCAGGCCCAAGCCAAGAGACAAGACAGCAAGACCCAACCAAGTTCAATCCTTTATTTGCGTACATGTAGTGGACAGAATCTTGCCAAATTAAAGCTATAATTTTCTAAACTATTAGTATATCCTGAGAGATTCTAGGGTGCCGTTACCCTGAATCTTTTCCTCACTCTCCCCTCCAGCTTTGGATAATGCAGCCTCTTGGTCTGGGGCACTTTCTGGGAAAGCTCTAATTTAGCCAAATCCTCTCCCTATGCTGTTACAGGTGCACATTCCAACACAGCTGCATCTGGATGTGGTGGAGTACTATGCTAAATGTTAAAATTAGAACAGTACATTAGGAAAATTTGGGGAGCACCAGGAATGAATCACTACTAAAATAGAAAAAAAATGCTAATGTGGAACTGAGCCACTTAAGAGATACTCGGAACACTATCTGTCTCTGTATGTCCTTACTAGGAAAAGGAACCTTCCAGGCAACCCCTGCATTGACAGTAATGTTGAGAGCTCACATGCAACACAACCAACCATCAGTGTGGTTCTGGAGATAAGTATTAAGCTTTCAGGAGTATAGTAACAAAATCCCAATTTAAATTTAAAACAAAGACTTGTAGGCAATAGTATGATATTTACTGGAACCATGTATTAAACAGATATTTGGATGGTGTCATAGGAACCCTTATTTGTTTTTAGCATATGTGAAAAGTAAAATAAAAATGCAGTTGCAGATCAGTAGCTGCAGGAGACACACACGAGGACAAAAATAGCAGCACACAATTTGGGAACTACTAGAAGCACCATGAATTGAAACAATTTGGGAATCTCTGTTAGTCAAACCTTCCACTCTTCGTGTATGCAATGCTTCAGGTTGTATTACCTGAAATAATTATTCAACTGGTTACAAATCCATAGCATTTAAAGACTTTCTCATTTTAGTGTACAGTCACACTGTTCTGGCAATTCCTGTTTCATTTTGCAATGATAACCTTGTTATAGCCACTGGTTCTAGATGGGAAGTAAGCAAACTAATAATTATACATGGTCAAACTATCCTCTGTTTTTTTTTATAAAACCCACCCTCCTCACTACAACAGTAATTCTGGACAGCATTTTACTTACTACAGCGAATTTCTTGTTCATGGCCATTTGGTCTGCCAACACAGATTGATTGTGAAAAAGGTGAGGCTGCATGTGACTCCACATGTGGGGGAACCACCAAAACTCCTTCACGTAAGAGAGCAGAAGGTCATCTCCCTCATCCTCAGCATCTGTACCTGCCAGGACCAAAGCATCATCATCACCATCATCATCACTAAGCAATGTTTAAGCCACAAATGAAGGCAGGGCTTCACAAAATCATACCACACAATCTGACAGCTTCTACACTGAGCAGCATTAAATGGAGTACACTGCATGAATTAAGTTAACCCAAAAACCTTGGATCTCCCCAAGTAGAAAGGAATAGAGAAAGCACTTTTCTTTATTAATCAGACATACAACACTATCATTTCCATGTCCAGAACTCAATGCAGAGGTGAGATCCTGTGACCATCAGATGGTTTATAAAGTACAAATCTCAGCAGCCTTAGGCATCATAAAAGATAACAAAGGATGCCTGTTGTTATAGATTACATTTGGAGGACTTACAGTTGCCCTAATGCTTTAAGACACTTGCATATTCAAGTTACATTAGGTATCTTTTTACCAGTCACAGAGAATAAAAGGTTTGAGAGGCTATGAAGAAAACTTTGCCATTTGTATTCTTACCTGTGTGGAAAAATTTCCCTGAGTAGCCCAGATTGAAGGTGAAATTTGGGATGTGGGTACGTAGTTCATTCTGAGTATCAAACAAAGCCTACAGGATGGAGAAAAGAGAATTTAAAAGAGTAGCTTACAAAAAGATTGAATCTATATAACCTGCAAAGCTATTTGAACTAGGCCGGGGGTGTTAAACCATATCGTCATGGCAGCATCAAATAACGCATTGGGATTTTTATCCCCTTTGTTAAACCGGGCAAGGGCAAGGCCAGCCCATGATGCATCCAGCCCGTGGGCCGCGAGTTTGACAGGCATGAACTAGGTGGTACCTGGCTCAATCGTAGTAACTACAAAAAGGATCTGGGAGTCCTAGTGGACACCCACTTAAATATGAGCCAGTAGTGTGCTGCAGCTGCCAAAAAAGCCAACAAAGTCCTAGGCTGCATTAACAGAGGGATAGAATCAACATCACATGAAGTGTTAGTACCACTTTGTAATGCCTTGTTAAGGCTACACTTGGAATACTGCATCCAGTTTGAGTTGCCACAATATAAAAAAGATGTTGAAACTCTAGAAAGAATGCAGAGAAGAGCAACAAAGATGATTAGGGGACTGGAGGCTTAAAAATGTGAAGGACAGTTGCAGGAATTGGGTATGTCTATTTTAATTAGAATAATAATAATGAAAAGGACTAGGGGTGACTTGATCTAAGAGGTTGCCACAAAAAGGTGGTCAA